CTTCGATGAGAGGTGGGAGTATGGAGATCACTTGTTCAGCGCAGAGGCATTTGTCATGGCATTTGTCTCCTTGAAAATGCTGCACCTTTGGGCTGGTCTATGCTGAAAACTGGCATCAGCCTAGCTATGTTGCTCAGGGGTGTGGAAAACCCACAAGAGCCAGAGCTATGCCAGCCTAACTTCCGGGAGCCAGCACAGTTCTTCTGTCTCTGGGAGGTGGATTACCGCCCATCACTGTAGCGAGGGTCTACACTGAAGCACTACACCAGCGTAGCTGTAGTGTTTTAATTGTAGACAAGGCCTTCGATGGGTTTTGTGATTTTTTCGTTGTAAGGTAAAAATAAAAAAAGGGATTAAAGGTTGGCTAAGTTTCCACAGAAAGGGAAGACCTTAATTTTCCGCAACTCAGGACTGAATCGGTCTTGTACACTCTGTGCATAAGAGAGCTTGTGTGTGTGAATCTGTTTTGTGATGTGTGTGCGTGAGAGACAGTGTGTGAATCTGTTTTGTAGTGCACGCAATGGTAAAGTCTGAGTCTGTGTGTGCCTAAATCTATTTTGTAGGGTATATGTACCTATGGAGTGTGTGAATTGTACCAGAAGCCACATGCAAAATGTGGATCAATTAATAACATGTGAAAATAGACACTCTTTGGAGAGTCACGAGTAAATGATTGAAGTGAGAACACTTTTTCCCTGGATGTGGGTGAAACACCCCGTGATCGTCCTTTTGACATACACCATAAAAAGTGACTGTGAATGATAACAAATGATTGACCAGGTGACTCGTTTGGTAACATCATCCCTTGGGTTGCACCCTGGCTCTGGGATGACGTCATTGCGTGGGAAGACAATCCTAAATTCTTGTTTGATCTCATCAGAATGGTCTTTAAGGGGCGGCTCTCCCTCCTGGACTGGGTTTGTATTTTTAACAATATGCAAATGGAAGTATTTAGTAGTTATCGACGCATAAGGCAGTGCCTACAAACCTTTCATTTGCTAAAGAAGCCCGTGTTGGATGGGTGTTCAGGTTATCAGGGCTCAGATGATGCAACTGATCACAACTGTTTGTGCACTGTTGTTGTTTGTTGCAATCTTGCTAAGACAAAAACTCTGCTTGTGTATTTAGGCCTTGGCTCAAGACAACACTTTAGCTCTTGCTTAAAGTCAAGCTTTGGCTTAATGGGGATGCTAATCAGATTCACACACTACTTTGTCACTAGATTTAGCGACTTTTTGGTTTGCCTGGTGAGAAAATAAGTGTCAAACAAAGTGACCAGTGACAAATCTAGTGACTTTCACTGCCAATCACAGTGACATTCAGAGAAAGAAGTCACCAATATGTATACTCACAAAATCATTCTCAAGCAGCTCAATAGTGTTATTAAAATCCATTCCATGCTCTTCTTACTACTTTCTTTTGCACACCAAGTCAATTTCATTACGGCCCAACTGAGCATGTCCTCCGAAAGAATCACATTCCAGGGCTTCTTGGGCTGAGATCACTATAATCTGTAGGTGAGGAAAAGAAGTTTGTGGAGGCTAATTAAATACTTTGCTAAAGCCAGACGCAGGTTGGAGAGATTTCAGAGTAGCAGCCGTGTTAGTCTGTATTTGCAAAAAGAAAAGGAGTACTAGTGGCCCCTTAGAGACTAACCAATTTATTTGAGCATAAGCCCACTAGTACTCCTTTTCTTTTTACGTTGGAGAGAGCAGCATATTAGCCAGCTTGTTTTTAGCCAAATGTTCTTTCTCACCCCTCCATAGTAGATAGCACACCCTGTGATGCAGGGAAAGCTGGCTAATGAAGTGAGCAGGGTGGGGGAGGCAGGCTAGCCAGCGAGGAGAGCTGCACAGATGGAAAGTGGGGTGGGATGAGACAGAGCCATGTGCCCCAATAGGGCAGGGGGCGCCATGCCTGCGGGAAGGAAGCCCTTACTACAGGATCAAAGGTGGAGCTAGCTTGATTTTGGCACCCCTTTACTCCTTCCCCTGGCTTGGCCTGGGGTTAGCTGCCCAGCTGTTTTCAGAAATCAAACCCTGGAAGCGTGGGGAAGGGGTCCGGCTAGCGGATTTTTGTTTTTAAATCTACTTTCTTGGCTCCTTGCAGTGCCGAGCTCAGGTCAGCGAATGCCCTCTTCCCCAGGCTCTGGGCTCTCCCTTTCACTAACCTGTCAGCTCAAATCCAGGCTGGCAATCTTGCTCATTCTAAGTAAACGTATGAGCTTGAGTTACCAGATACCTAGAAAGTGGTGAATTGGATATGGGAATTGTTCTTTGCTTTCTGAGATTTCATGAGATTGGCTTAAAATCATGAGATTGTTTTTAAAATAGTAATAAATATTGAGCTCTACTTCATCTTCCGCTTTCTCCCCTGTTTGGCACATGGTGGTCATGTTTCCGAGCTTTTCTCTGCTACCATGAGAGCTAGAAACTCTTATTATTATTATTAGTCACAAGCTCAGATTCTCCTGACTCCAGAAGCTGGGGCTTTCTTCAGAACACCAGTTGTCCCAAGCCTCATGACCAAAGGGTAAGAGCTGACAATGCTGATGTAGGATGGTATAATTTACACCTCCCTACAATGGCAACTGCAAAATAAAAAGGGGACTTGACTGTTTCTTCTGGCTAATATTTGCCCAGTGCTTTGAGGATTCAGAAGGGGCCACGTGGGCATGGAGTGTTATATCAGGTTGAGTTTAAAAGGGGAGGAAATGAATTATTCTCCACAGTTCCACTAGGAGGGGGTAGAACCTCTGGGTTGTTTTATGGTCACCGTTCCTGGTCACTGCAGGCGATCAGGCTATTCCGCTCTGGGGCTTGCCACCCTCCTAATTGATTCAGCAACCCAGGGCATCCCTTGGGGCAAACAGGGCCCTGTGAAAATTCCCACCAGAGCCGTACATTCAAAGCCATTCCGCAGCCAGCGGGCGGTTTGATCTCATGATGCCGTGAATAAAGGGTGCTCTGATTTAGCATAGGACATGGCTGAGTCAGATTTCCCCAAGCCCCCTCTCCACCCGGAGTTGCAAGCTAATCTTGTGACAACAGGGGCACGGACGCCACCTGTCTCCTGTTCTGTGTCTGCTTGGTGGGTGATATTTGCGTGGCCTGTTCAAAGCCTAATGAGGTGGCGTCCATGGGCTTTGGGAATGTGAAACCCATCACCCTCCCCACCAACCCTGGTGCCAGGACTGCACTGCCCCTCTCCCAGGAGGACCCCTGCTCCGGTGTAGGGCTGTAGCCAATGTTCCTTCTAATTTTTGACAGGCCGTGTGCGCAAACAATTTCTTCTATGCAAACTTTTGACAAGCCGTGTGCGCAAAAAATTTCTTCTGTGCAAATTGTTGTGCGCGCTGTGTTTCGCCTTGTGCGCGGGGGGTTAGGATCTGTGCACAGCTTTGAGGGAACAGTGCCTGTAGCCCCAGCTTCTCTGCAGCACTGGGGCCATGGGGTTCCCTGTTCTTCTTGCTGAAGCCTTCCGTAGGCTGGGGGATTGCTTGACTGATCTGCCTAGTCACGGCTCCACCAGCCTTGTCCCCAAACCTTGCTTCGTGCTACTGCCCACCAGATTGCAGGCCCTGGCAATGGGGAATTCTCTGTGGCCTGCCTACCCCTGGGCAGAGAGGAAGGGTGGCCTAATGGTTTGGCTGATCACCTGGGACTAGGGGTGAATCCCCTGCTCTGCACAGCCTCCCTGTGTGACCGCGGGTAAGTCTCTTAGCCCAGATCCTCAAAGGTATTTAAGTGCCTGACTCCCGTGGGCTATATAAGTACCCTCTGACGCAGGAATGGCATTGGATCTGCCCATGGAGCGTGGGGCAGTGTTTGTATAGCACCCAAGAGCATGCTGGGAGCTCAAATATGATCCCTGCCCCAGACAACCTACAATCAAACTGCAGATGCAACGCAGAGAGGAGAAGGCTTGTCTTGTGGCTAAGGCACTGGGCTGGGACTCTGGTGATCGAGGTTCAATCAGGGGCTCTGCCATGAACTTGGCATGCCTGAGCGGGGACTAACGTCAGTTGTTGGGTTTAGCAGGCAGGTGGTGGTGGTGATGTGTGATACGCAGAAGGTCAGACCAGATGATCTGGCGGTCCCTTCCGGCCTTGAACTCTGTGACAAATGTGGCTTTATGCTACATTTCCATCTGCTTGATCCTGCAGCCAGTTCATTTCCCTCAGTAATGTGGAGCAGCCTAAGGGCTGCTCTCAAATCTGCTGGTTTGTAATGGCCAGCTAAGGCTCATCCTAGTCCCCTTGATACGCCCTTTCCCTCACGAGGAAGGTAGAAGGAGGGAGTGGGAGAGAGACAGTTGTAGGATTCCCTTGCCCTCAATGGATAGGGGGATTTGTGGGGTCAAAGCAGGACCGTCAAGCCAAACCCAGGACTGGTGGAAGGTCTGCGTGTGCCCATTGAACTGTACCCATGCCCTGGCCCAGGAATGCTGCTCTTGCACAAGTCTGACTTTGATCGCCGTGTGGGGAAGGAGCAGGTGTTGTGGGGAATTCATTTTCGAAACCCTGAGTTTAAGGATCTGTAAGTCCGGAAAGCTTTTTCTCCCCTGCAAAGAAATGCCCTAGCCTCTGGATTGTATAGGCTCCTCTCTGCAACGCTTTCGTTATGGGACTGGACCTTCGTCCATATGTTCAGGGCAAAGTCCTAGCTCTGGGTAGGGGAGGGAGAAACTTCTTTCCTAAGGTAATTGCGCGTTGTTAAAATGATTGTCGTGGAAACACCAGCGAATTTCTCCGCCTCCCCTTGGTTAATGACAGCTGTCAGCGTCAAGCGACAGGGCGCGCCTGGGGCCAGACCACTGCAGCGCAGGGGAAAGGGGGAGTCTTATGCGCCATTACCAGACCGCTGCAATCACTTCTACTCCCGTTTCCCACGCAACACAACCCTGGTTGTGCCGAACCCCGTGTTCTGGCGGGCGGAGGAGGGAGCAGCCACGCGGACTAGGTTTAACGTGCGGGGGAACAGAGGTGCTGTACCCCGTCCCCTCCCCTCCTTCGCTGCCCGCCGGTGGAGGCGTCGGCACGGCGCTGTTAAAAGCGGCCCGTTCCGCCTCCGGCCGCCCGAGGTGCCAGGCCCCGGGCTCCCCGCGCGAAGGCCGCGGCCATGGCTCTCCGGGTCCGCGTGCTGTACTGGTAAGCGCGGGCGGGGGGCGGCGGGCCGCGCGGTTGCCGCTGGCCGGGCCGCAGGGGAAGCGTGGCCGCCCCCTTCTTCTGCTCTCGTGCGGTCTCCCCCCTGAGCGACACGGGCGGAGCAGCGAGGAAAGCGGGGGGCAGAGGGGGCCGCCAGGCTACGGTGGCGGGCGTGGCCCCGGCCCGACGGATGCGATGCGCGTGTGGACGCGGGAGTCGCAGGAAATGGCTGGCCGGCGTTAGGCTGCGGGTGTTGTGGGCCGGTTGCCTGCCCTCGGGGCTCGCCTCTCTCGCCAGCAGAAGACGGTGCCATAAAACTTGTTAGCTCCCACGCCTCCTGGACTTGGTAGCGGAGCCCAGGGCGGGGTCGTGTTTTCTGGATAGCTCCCCTTCCCTGAGCACCCTGGTTACAGGGTGGGTGGCAACACCCCTTGCTCCATGCTCTCTGTGTTTGCCACTGCCTGCATCCGATGCAGTGAGCTGTAGCTCGCGAAAGCTTATGCTCAAGTAAATGGGTTAGTCTCTGGGGTGCCCCAAGTCCTCCTCTTCTTTTTGCGGATACAGACTAACCCGGCTGCTGCTCTGAAACGGATACACACAATCTGCTAGCCCTGCGTTGGCCCGGGGTGGGGTATTTTAGCAGGCGCCCCACAGGCCGGGGAGGAAACATGCTGATCTAGCAAAGGATCCGTTAAAAGCAGCGAGACCGGGGGATAACTCCCGCTTCTTGCCCCAGCTGCTTAGTGGTCCTGACCCAAAGCCCCTTGAAGGCAGAGGCTCTCTGTTGATTTCGGGCCCTTCGGGTAAATCCTTGTATGCTGTTACTGGCCAGGCCACAGGACAAACTGTGGGGAATGACCCTGTGCTGCCCTCTCGGGAATGGTCTGGTTGGGGGCTGGTTTCACGCCCTCCAACCCGGTCAACTGATCTCAAGGGGGCAACTGGGCTGATACCTTGGCTGTTTTGGGCTTAAATTGAGAGCTCTTTAAGAAACCTGCACGGGTGTTGTAGGGGATTAAGCTGCTTCTATCCCACAGGGTGAATGAAGCTGCTTACAGCCTAGCACGCACTGGCTGAATGGTAGGTGGACTAATGTCACCTCTGTGCAGTCAGGCGAGTCCAAGTTTATATTTGGTACTTCTGCTGCAAAGTGGCAGCTTACACGCCCTCTCTGCCCACATTCAGTCAGCCAGAGCTTGAAATGGGTATTGTCACCCTGGAATAGACCGGCATCTCTCTTGCTTAGTGCAAGACACCTTAATCCTGACCTGCTGCAGCCTTTTCTAAGCGAATCCTCTGACAGGGTGCCTCTGTGCTGATCTGCATCTCCTCCTTCTGCTAGAGTAACCATGGCCTCCCATATACACAACTCATGCCCCTCAAGCATGACCCACAGCCCTCCATGCACCTATAGGTCCGGCCTCCCCAGGCACGGCTCCCCAGTATCTCCAGCTACTCTGACCTGAGCTGCCTTGCTTTCGGTCCATAGACTTCAACTTTCTAACTCGCCTCTTGCAGCTTCACCCGTCTTCAAGAATGTGCGTAGTCATGGTAGCTGTGTATCCTCTGGTTATCGTGGCATAATGAAAGCGCCAGAGCAATACTGAGTCTTCTGAGCTGTGGAAGTGGAGGGGTTATTCCGTGCTCATGGGGCAGCGGTGAGAAGTGACTGCTGAAGCTGGGGTGGAGTTTAGGGGGGGAGGGGAAAAAAAGAGGGGGGGTAGGAATCTCACCTCCTTGCTAATAAAATAGTTTTATCCTGCAGAGTTAGTTGCTGTGACTCTAGGGCTTAGCCAGCTCTGTGACGGTGTTACAGAACAGCATTCGGGGTCTTCTGAGAGGTTTCTGTTCCTGGCAAAAAGCACCCTCCTGCTCTACATTCCCACGCATATTAGAATGACTTCTGGAAGCGCTCTCCTCTGCTCCCTGAGCATCTAAAATAGACACAGGAAGGGCTGGTATGACTTCCCTCTTTCAAAGCTCTTTCTCAGCAGCCAGTTGCTCTCTTGCACCTCCGATAGAAGGTGGTTAGGGGGCCAGTTTGTCCCAGCACCAGCAGGTGTTAGCGCAAAGTTTATATGCGCCCTATTCCAAATAATAGCAATTAGCGTCTGTGGATAAAGTTAGCAGTTGACTGTTTCTTGACACAATCTAAATGCAATGAAAGTAACCGCATGGCAAGAAGGCTCAACTTCAGTCTTAAGTTTCTAATGAAAACAACTAGCAACAATCAGCATCGTTAGTGGGGTTTTACCCTCCCCGTGATTTGTAATTATCACTTTCTGTGGACCAACATCAATGCTCAAAACCCAGGGAGATGTCCTCAAAAAGGGTGTCATGTTCCCATCTACTGTCTTGTCCCATAGAGAAGACAACAGCCTACTACTTCTGGAGGCAGCATGGCCTTGTGGACAGAGCACTGGCCAGGGTTTTGGGATTCCCAGCTCTGCCACTAACTTGCTTGGGTGTCCTTGGACACGTTCCTTTCCCTTTGTAAAATGGAGCTACTTGATGCTCCTTTGCAAGGCACTTTGAGATCGGTTGATGGAAAGCACTGTAGAAGAGCTAGGTGGTGGTATTATTTTCAACCTAATGTCGTTCCCCTTCATCTCAAATAGCAGGAGTCCAGGTGGGATTAAAGGAAGCTAGGTGCTCAGCTCCTGTTTGAATTTCAGCCTTTGTTCCTTCTTTGGTTAGTGTCTAGATGCTGAAATAATTCTTCTTTGTCTCCCTGCAGCGGGGCCTGAGGCTACCTTCCCAAGGTAAGCGACCAGCTTCCTCGGTTCAGTTCCAATTATAACTCTGGTGGTGGTGGGTGAACTGGACTGAGGTGCTCTAGGATCCCATTCCTGTTCCCAGCACTTGGTCCAAGTTACTGGCCATCTGCAAGGAGAGGAAGTTCTGCTCCAGAGAAAGTTGGGCCATAGCATGTCATTGGATCTGCTCCTGGAGCATCCCCAACCCTTTGCCCCAGCCTGACCCAACGAGAACTGCTGGGCTTTTCCTCCCCCTTCAGTCCCCAATTGGCTGCCTGGGCTGTCTGAACCTGTGCATGAGGAGGTATAAATGGAGTTGCACTGGTGAGAAAATTGGTGCAAAGGGAAGCAGGAAGTTGGGGTAGAAAGGGCTCCTGTACTCACAGCAGGCCACATGGCCTGGCTGTGTGAGGCTTGGCTCGCTAGCTGGTATTGTTGCCAGCTGTTTTTTAGGTGCGTGAAGTAACAGCAGAGCCAAGATTCAGCTGGGGCAAGTCCTGACGAAGACTTCTCAGGCATTAACTCTGGGTTCTGCCTTTCCCCTCTCTCCTCTCTAGTATCAACAGCTCAAGAAGGAACTTGAAAAACAGTTCCCAGGCAAGCTGGAGATCGTGAGTATCCCAGGACTGTCCAGTTTGTGCAGAGCACGTAGCTTTTGTGTCTGTCTGACTCCCAGTCAGAGAATATGCACGGCCAAGGAATGGCTGTGTCCTCTAAAGCTCCAGTTCTATACTCTCAAAACTCCTGTTGCCTTCAGTGGGAATCTGCGATGCAGGAGGCTCTAAATAAGTCCCTCCTCATCTGGTGGGACCTGACTGAGAACTGTTGGACTAAGAGCATGTCATGTCCAGCATAAATCTGGAACATAGTTGTCAGATCCATGGTTCGTCTAGTCTAGTATCTTGTCTCTGAAAGTGACCAGTGCCACACGCTTCAGGGGAAGCGGTTAAACCTCTCCGATGGGCAAACAGGCACAAACATAACCATGGGGAAAGCTTTGACCTGATCCTGGGCTGCTGCTGGTTGGCTTACAAAGCATGCCCCGTGTGGTAGAGGTAAGGGAAGCCTTGATCAAGGAAGCATGGAGAGTGGCGTTAAGGTGGAAGGAGGACGGTCCTGCAGGACTGAAGATGTTTGGACAATCTAGTATCATGTCCTGGTTTCCTTGTGCGCTTCAATCTATATATACTCTTCTAGATTATAAACTGTTCGGGATAGGGATTCTTTGATATGTTCAGCACCTGGCACAATGGGATCCTGGCTTCTAGAATACAAATTAACTTAATAGATTCTAAGGTCAGAGAAGGGCCCATTATGATCATCTAGTCTGACCTCCTGTATGACTCCAGACCAGAGAATCCCAACCTGTCATTTCTGCATCAAGCTCACAACATCTGTTTGCAGATGTATTCTCCTCTCTGGTGAGAACTGTAGGGAGCACTCCTGTTGAATTAGGAATCTTCAGAAGAAACTAACATGAAGGGGAGAGCTGGCTGCTTAAAATAGCCCAGACCCCCTTGGGGCTCTTCATTCTCAAGGTGACTGACTCCTCTTCTCTGCTTAGAGTGGCGAAGGGACCCCTCAGGTCACAGGATGGTTTGAAGTGACAATTGCAGACAAACTGGTGCATTCAAAAATGGTGAGTGGTCTCTTCCTCCCCTCCCATCTAGTTCCTAACCGAACTGCTCAGCTGATAGTCACCAGGGCAGGCGATGTGCATGATCCAGAAAGACTCCTTCATAGAGATGTTGTGAGCACAAGGCTGGGAGCCTTGTCTGGGCTGACATCTGTAGCCAGAGTCCGCTGTTGAAGCTGGAGCAGTAGTCCTGTCTAAAGTTGTACCAACTTGTACAATGATCCCCTTAGAATCTGCATGCCGAACAGGGATCGGGGGGGGCTTCTAAGGAGCACTCACTGTGGGTCAGCAGGTTGGTACTCTTCCTTCGGTGCTGCTGGAGATGAGACCTAAAACACATATCAGCCACTAACTCCTACTAGCCCACTCACTGGGCTTGCTAGTGTTAACTCAATGCCATGTTCATGTTTCAATAGGAGTAACTTATCTTGACTCTCTAAACTTTCTCTGCAGTTGCAGTAGTATACAGGCTGTGGTTTTTTATTCTCTCTTCTTCTCCCACCCCTTCCCCTAAAAGCTGGCATTTTCCACCTCAAAGATGGCTGCATTTCAGTGGTGGATGAAACCTGCATCCTTTATCGCCAAGGATAGCAAATTGAAATGTCTTATTAGCAGCCACCACTGCTGACCTTCACAGGAGGAAAAATACAGCTCCTTAGAAAACCTCTTTGACGCTAAAATAGCCTTTGGCTCTTGCAGCTGCTGATGCTGCAGGTCCGGGAGGGTGGGGGGATTAGAGCTGTTGGTCCTACATTAAAAGTTCTTCCACTGTCATGTGTCAATGTGAGGTGGCAGGACTGTTGAGCTCTGTGTCCTTAAGGATGTTCCAGGGGCCTGCTGAACTTCAGCTGTCCTGTATGTGACACCTTCTAGAAGCAGTTGTGTTTGCCCATATTTCTTGGCAGGGGGAAAGGGGCTGTAAATTTCATCTGCGCTTTTTTTTTTAAAGCTAATATTTTGTTTGAGCTCTTTGTGAGCCAGGGTGGTCCAGCAGCAGAAACAAGCTTTCTGCGCTCGCTGCTGTAGCCAAGGAGTAGCTGTGAGGTTTTTCTGAGGCCGCTTTTCAAACACTGCATTGTCCCTCCGATCCTGGCGCTGCTGTCCTGTAGAAGGCATCTTGCTGAGGAATACTCTTAAATAGGAGTGGAAATCTCCGTGGGCATAACTCTGGACACAATCAGTGGCCGTGTTACCCTGGAGAATTATAGAAGCTTTAAAACATAAAAACGGCCATACTGGCTCAGACCAAAGGTCCATCTAGCCCTGTATCCTGTCTTCTGACAGTGGCCAATGCCAGGTGCCCCAGAGGGAATGAACAGAACAGGGAATCACCAAGTGATCTGTCCCCTGTTGCCCATTCCCAGCTTCTGGCAAACAGCCTTCTCATGCTCTGACTACTTTGAGCCTTATGGGGCATGTCTGGGGGGAGAGGGGAGGGGGGGTTCAGCTGTCCCCTTGCTAACTGGCTCCTCTCTGGCAGAACGGAGATGGATTTGTGGATAATGACACCAAGCTTTCCAAGATTGTGGCAACCATTAAAAAGACGTTGGCTTTGGGATAGGAACAGCAGAATGCATCGGTGGCTCTGTACATAGCACAGGTAAGTTTGTGGGTCTGGCTATCCCAGTAGTCCTCTCTGTCATTCCTCCTTGGATAAACGGAGCCTTGCTGCATGTGACTTTCTAGGAGACCTTTAACCAAGGTCCTATCCCCCTCGGCATGGGTATTATAAATATGATGGGGCACCCGAAAGAGCAAGGACTTGCCACGTTATGGTTGGTTAGAACGTCACCCCACCCCAACCGCTATTATGCTGACTGCTGGGGCAGCTGTTGTGCTTCACCCCAGAGATAGCTGCATTTCAGCTTATATACATAGACAAGGAAACACTTGGGAAAGCTCTCTGTTAAAATGCTGTAATGCTGCAAATCCTAAAGCTCCCAGCCACTCTGGTTATGCTGGCAACCACCAACAGGGCAGAGCATTCATGGGAGGCAAAAAGATTGGCAAAAGGGGTCAGAAAATGAGCATGGCTCTGGTTGGCTGAGGTGCTGTGAATCCAGGTGGTGATGAAAGCAGACTTGCCCCCTTGGTAAATCATACATGCAATCCCCAGAACCAAAGCTAGAACCCTGGTCTGTTGGATCCTAAAATGCACCCTTTGCACTGCCAGGCTCCCCCCTCCGCCCCCGACTTCCTTAATTAGTCCTACGAGTCTCTTGTCCTCTGTGTGGCGATTGTGTTATCTTGGGTTTGTCTACAGTGTTTTTATGTAAACAGTAGAGGGCACGGTTACACTTGCATGATGTAGCTGCTGCTTCCGGTACATCAGACTGGAAAGGGCCTTTCTGAGCCTTCAGTCCACTGCTCTCACAGACGCTCCAGCATAAAATTCTGGACGTAAACTTATCAGTCTCCATCTTCAAACTAGCTCGCCCCCACTGCTCCGTTTCAGAGGCTGTTCCAGACCCTTGGTTCCTAACCGTCAGAGGAGCTTCTCGTTTCCAGCCTAAACGTATTCGCGCTCAATTTGTAGCCGTTTGTTCTTGTGCCAATAATGTCCTTGAGCTTCAATAGCTCTTCTGGTGGTTTTCCCCACAACACCCTGGCCTATTTAGAGAGAGCAATCAGATTTTCCCCCTCTCAGCCTTCACTTGGCTAGGTTAAACAAGCCAAGCTCTTTCCATCTCCTCTCCTAGGATGGGCTCTCCAGCCTCCTGATCATCCTAGTAGCCCTTCTTTACACCTAGTCCAGTTTTATTTTTAAATTTCAAGTTTAACTATATATGTTCCTTCTCTTCGTCTAGCTTGATGAGCATTTGCTTCATTCAGCTCGGCCGAGCGCTTGATGATGGGAGTTGCTGAAATGTCCTCTGGAGCGTGGCCATTCCCAGAAGTTTTTGCGCAGGATGCTGGTTTGAATGAAGGCAGATGAGAATCCAGTTCTGTGCTTTGGCATGCTTTATATCTGTATGCAACACCTGTCTAGAGTTGAAACGGCCCCATTAACGTGCCCTGTTAACACACTATGTGCCATTAAGGTGCCTCTAACTTTGAATAATTCTTGAGTGAGTTTCACTGTTCAGCCTTACAGAGAAATCTGTCTTAGTGCTGATATAGCAACAGCAAGCTCTTTGTCTGGGGTTGCTGGGATGAAGGCTGTCAAGTAAGGGAGGGTTACCATCTGGGAATCCCATCAGTGTGGGAAGAGGAATTAACTGCTCATTGTCCGGTATGGGGGGAACTGGGAGGGAAATGAGATAAAATGTTTTAAGGAATGACTCAGTAGTCTGTTTATAAAACTCCTGAGTTTTAATTTAAACTCCCTATGTTTTCTTAAACTGGTGTCAAAACAGTTTTTCCCTCTTCTGCAGAACCTTGATACAGTCCTGACAAATCACATTGAGATGTCCCAGCTAGGCAGTAGAGCTTGCTCACAAAACGTAACCTCTAAATCTTGGCATTTCTGAATCGTGATAATGCACTTCCCCCTTCCAGGGTCACCCAGTGTTTAAAAAAAAAAAAACCCAGAAAGACAGTTTTGCAATTTTGCTGTATGATTTAACTTTTGTTGCACTTCAGAAAGGTGTCTGTCAAATAAAATAATAAAAATTTGTAAACTGGTTGTGTAGTGGCTTCTTTCTAGTGCTTGCTATCTGACCAAAGACAGGAGATTCTGCTGTTGCTCTTTCTCTTGCAATAGGGGGTATAATTCTTCTATACCAGTACTCCGAAACAAGCGGCGAGTGGTCCAGCGCTTCATTGCAGTGTGACGATCATGAAAACAGCATTCCAGGTCCTATATCCAAACCTATCAAGCTCCTTCCATCTACACTCCACTCCAGCAAGCCTGATGCAGTTTTCATCTTTCCAGACTTCTTTGCAACCTCAGTAGTGGGGCTACTATTGAGGTGTCCTAACTAGGCAGTGGATATTTTTAAAGCAGCCAGGACCTTGCTTTTTGTGACATCAAAGTTCTCCTGCTACATCTCCAGGGTCTTGTTACAATGACTTTGATCCACAGTCCCCCAAACCTTGAAACAAAAGAAAACTGGTGGCATTTGCAGACCAATTCTGTATTGTGACACCCCCCGCTTCAAGCTACAGTAGCAGAGGGTGCTGCAAGTCAAGATTGTGGAGCAGGGCAGAGCTGGGATGGAGAGTGGGAAGTGTACTAGCAGAGATGGCTGTAAATGGGGACTGAAGTACATCAGCTGTGTGCACAATGCCTACCCTCTGCTAATATGTTCTTAGTCTCATTTTCATGAATACTAAAATAAACCTCCATTTAAAAGAAAAATTAATCAGCTTGGCTCAGTTACCCTTGTAACTTGTACCTATTATGAAACAACTCTTGTAAGTAACCAGTAAAGGAGTAAATCCTCTGTCTGCTGGGGCCAGGCCAGTAAGAGTTCTCTCTGCTGCATAGGGTGAGACTTATTTAAAGCTCTGACCTTCCATTGCCAGGACAACTTGATGCCCTCTCCTTACCTCCCCAAACACCGTTTTTTGTAATAATTTTACCCTTTAATCCAACAGGCCTGTTTTTGTTCTTCCACAATTGATTTGATTTAATGGGGAGCCTAGGAACCCATGACCATCTCTGTAGTGTTTAGGGATTAGCTCAGAGCCCCCAGATTTCCAGTAGAGCGGAGCTAGTTGTAAATGAGTTCTCTCACATCCTGGATGTCTCCTATATGAAAATAGTTTAAGATAATGCACCTTGGGGGCGGTCTTAATTCAGATCTATTGTCAATCAGAACTCTCCTTTTTAAAGGAGGTCTTAAAAGGAAAAACGGTGGTCTTGTGGCTCAGGCCTAAAACAGAGGTTCTTGTTCTGGGTGTGCCAGACTTGCATTGTGACATCACCTCTATCTCCCATTCCTCATCTGTAATATCTATCTTGCCAGAAGCAGCTGAGGTCAAATTTCAGTCGTGTTTGTAGTGTTGCAAGAGTCGGGGTGGAGGGATGATAGGGGAGGACAAAAAATACAATTTATTAAAAATTAGTTAAAAAAATACACAGTTTAGTCCAGTTTTTTAGCAACTCTGGTGAGGGTGATGAGATACAACTGTGCCCTCTGGTGCCCACAATGATAAATGCAGGTAGTATAAATTAGTGATTTCCTGGTGGTAGTTTTCTGAATATCCTTGCAAGACAAATCTAGGAATTCATGGTTTATTTCTAGTGGGGTAATGTCCTGAGGAGCCTAGGCAGCATGAGATGCCTGACTGTGCTGGGCTACTGTAGAAACACTCAGGGAGAGATGGACGCTGCATTTAGGACTCCTATATCTTTGAAGAATGAGGCATCAGAGTGAGTTTTGAGTTGTCTAGTAACAGTGGGCCTTAGTCCAGTTTGAGCATAACTGGATCACGCAGCCACTCCTATCCGTTCTCTGCTGTAATTGAGTTTGTACCGGCAACCCCTTAGAAATTATTACAAGAAGGCCGCACGCTTTGCTGCTCATGTAGGCTGAGTTTTGTGGGTTATCCAAGTGCAAATGGAGGCCCAGCTGGATGGGCTGCCGAAGAACAGGGGCCGTTATGTTGGGTATTTCACATTCATACAGTAGGAGATAATCCTACCTCAGAGAGCTTACATATGTTTCACACCATCTACCGTTGACCATCTTTTGAAAGGGATCCATTGTTCTTCGTAGCCCCTGAGGGTAGCACAAGAAGTAATTGGTTTAATTTGTAGCAAGGGAGAGTCACATTGGATACTAGGGCAAACTTTCTTAGGCACCGGAGCAAGTGACCCAGGGAGGTTGTGGAGTCATGTGAGGGTTTTATAGTGGCATATGTGGCTAGTAGGCATGACTTGGCATGGCTTATACGGGGAGGTTCATATGACTAGTGCAAAGGGCTTGATATAATTTGTCCACTGGAAGGAGTTGCCAAAGCTTCTGCAAGGGCCTTGACATGGTATATATTGGAATGGTTGGTGTAAATATGCGGGGGAGGGGTTGGCATGTTACATGTAGGGAAGGTTGGCAAGATGCATGCTGGGGGGCGCTTGGCGTGACTTGTAACAGAGGTTTACTGTGTTACATGTAGGGAAGGTTGGCAAGATGCATGCTGGGGGGCGCTTGGCGTGACTTGTAACAGAGGTTTACTGTGTTACATGTAGGCGAGGTTGGCAAGATGCATGCTGGGGGGCGCTTGGCGTGACTTGTAACAGAGGTTTACTGTGTTACATGTAGGCGAGGTTGGCAAGATGCATGCTGGGGGGCGCTTGGCGTGACTTGTAACAGAGGTTTACTGTGTTACATGTAGGCGAGGTTGGCAAGATGCATGCTGGGGGGCGCTTGGCGTGACTTGTAACAGAGGTTTACTGTGTTACATGTAGGCGAGGTTGGCGTCACACATTCCAGGGCTTTGGCGTGTCACACGTAGGCATGGGTTGGTGTGATGCACATGGGGGGGGGCACCTGGCGTGACTTTGTGCCAGGGATTTTACATTACATGTAGGCAAGATTGGCATGACGCATGGCAAGGGTTTAGCCTGACTCGAGGGAGGTCTTAACGTAACTCACGCAAGGGGCATAAAATGCAGTAGGGTCTGTGGTTAAATGAAGGCTCCCCCTTGCCAGCCCTGTGACTGGGGGGAGGCAGGGGCAGCCTGGGTGGCGCTTACAAGATGGCGCCTACACAGCCTGGTTCACCTCAGCTGACCTCCCCACCCCTCCCCTCTGCCCCATTGCATGATGGTTAAATAGCCCAGCCGGGGAACCCGCCATTTTCTGCTAGGGCTGGCGGGAAAGGCGGGAAGGGAGCGAGAGCAGCGCGAGCGCCGGCGCGGGACTCCCAACGGCTCCAACGGTCGCTGCTGCGAGGGGCGCGAGCCACACACACAGGTAATAAGGAGGCGCGAGACACCCCCATACCCGGGCTTCCCCCTCCCCCCTCGTCCGAAAAAAAGGGGGGGTGAGTAGAAACCGAGATCGTCTGAGGAGCCCCTTCCACCAAGTAAGTCCCGCCTTCCGTCTGTATCCTGCAGCTCATTGGTCGGGCGATGCGAGAGCACGGTGGCCGCGCTGATTGGCTGGAAGCCCCTGAGGCAGCCCCGAGGTCGATTGGTCATGAGCCGCGTCAATCACCGAGGAGGCTTCGCGGCTCAACCCCCTTTCTTGTCAGGTTACATACCGGTTGGCTGGCGACGCTGGCCAATCGGGAGAAAGCCTCGGTTAGCCTGGGGAAGCTCACCTGACACTAGTTAGCTAATCAAACCCAGACTTGGCGCAAAGGCTTCTGGAAGATGTAGTCTTTCTTTAAAAATAACACTTTATGTGGGTAGAGGGGGGGCCACCTGGGGCGGGGACTGGGAGCTGGGACTCCTGGGTTCTCTTTAAAGCAAACTCTGGTGGCTTTACAGGGGCTGCATATTGGCCATGGAGGTGGGATGCCATGGCACAATTTGGTGTGGGGTTGCTATTGTCCTTGGCTCCATCGCCATGGCGCCTGGTTGCCACGATCGCCATGGCGCCTGGTTGCCACCATGACAGTGACTTCGGCCTGGTGCCCAACGTGATGGTGCTCATGTGGAACCAGCGCCTCAGCGGGGTCTCACGTGGCATGGAGCTGGCTCTGAGGCCAGATCTCTCTCGCTCTTTTCGGGCCCAGAGCAGCCTCCGCTCCATGAAGGGTTAATGGCCCCTTGCTTTTTGCAGCCTTGCCCCCCAGCTTCCAGCCAAGGTGACCCTCCCCACTCTCCTCCCTACAACAATCCCTTTTCCAGACTCTCACTCATGCCATTCCTAGCTGGCTCCCTCCACTGCCTTCACTTCCCCAACCCCACATGTCTTCCCGCCCTGTTTCTGAGCGATCGGGGCAGCAGGTTCTTTCCTCCCCTGCCCCCCAGCTGGCGCCACTGATCAGTGGGGAACCTCAGGGGGGAAATCGGTGACTTTTTCTCACTGTTGGGAAATATCACTTGTGGGTCTGTGCAAAAACTGGCAACTGCAGAGGGCGGAGAGGAAAAGAACCCAGGAGTCCTGACTGTAAATCCCTCCTGCTTTAATCCACTAGACCCTAGTCCTTTGCCAGACCTGGGACTCGAACCCAGGAGGAGTCCTGGCTCCCAGACCTACTTCCTAATGTAATCACTGGATCCTGCTGCCTTCCCAAGCTGGGACTAGAACCCTGGAGTCCTAGCTCCTAGTCCTAAGCACTAGACCCCATCCTCCTCCAGAGCTGGGAAGACAACAGTTCTCCTCCTCTTCCATGCTGGGCAAATCAGGTTACTGACTGAAGTGATCATTTTATATTACAGCAGAAACAAAACACAGATTCATCTGTGACACTCTAGTCGGGCACTGTTATAAATGAAGTAATTCTGAGTGAGCAGTTGTGGAACTAACAAAAGCTTTTCAGGGATTTTCTAGTACTTTTTTTTTTTTTTTTCTCCCATATAGTGCCGGAAATGTTCCTAAACATTTATATGACGACCTCTAGGGTTTCCATAGTATCTGAGCGTCTCACAGTCATCAAGAGATTCCTCTTGGGCAGGGCAGTGTGACTAGCTCCATTTTACCAGTAGGGAACCACATTGGCTTAGTGACTTGTAGGTCACACAGGGAGTGATGGGACGCGACCCCAGGTCAAGCTGTTCTTGAAAAGGTTAAACTGATTTCTTCCCCTTTTCCCTGCAGATTTCTTCTGCACTAAAGACCGTCCAGAATGGCCCGTACCAAGCAGACTGCTCGTAAATCCACTGGTGGGAAAGCCCCCCCGGAAACAACTGGCCACTAAAGCAGCCAGGAAAAGTGCGCCTTCCACTGGGGGAGTGAAGAAACCTCATCGTTACAGGTATTTGGAGTCACGCTTTCTCTGCTGGTATGCATGGGAGACGTAAAGGGGAGTTTTGCGGTTTGCCATTATAAGAAAAAAATACCGTGATATGTCATAGCCTTAATTCTTATGTACTATGTCTGAGGGAGCATGGGCTAGTAGTTAGGGATTCAGACGCCTGAGCTGGAGTTCTCTTTGCCAGCCATGCCACTGACCTGCTGGTGTGGTCTTGGGGAAGTCGTTTCCCTTCTCTGTGCCTCAGTTTCCACTCTCATCTTTTGCTAGTCTCATCTACTTAGCATGTAAGCTCTTCAGAGCAGGGACAGTTTCTCACGCTGGAATGGGTGCGTACGGAGCTGAGCCCAGAAAGGCCTCGTCTGAGATCAGGGTTCCAAGCGGCTACTGTAATTAGAAATAATAAATGTTTGTAGTGAGTAGTTTTATAAAATATTATCCTCTCGGCTGGCTTATTAGAACAGAAGCATAAGGGACAAACGCGTGCATACAAAGGCGCTTGTAGTCAGCTCAGCAACCCATGTTTGATAGGGCTCCTGCCCAGCGGTTGAGATGTCATCATTGTTCCAGTCCTTGTTTGGAAGGAGCTGCTAAAGTACTTAAAAAACCACTTAAAAAGAAAAAAGCTTAGATCTACCAGTGGCCTAATATTAGGGGCTGTCAACTTTTGTTGATTCCCTTTAAATACTGCACTTTATTTTGTAACAGGAAAGTTTGTGAAATAGGCCAGCTTAACAACCATGGAGTCCTCTTTGTCCCCAGAGACTGTGGCAGGGCAAGCTTCTTCTATGCACTGTGTGTGTGTGTGTGTACAGCTGAGACACTTGCAGAGGAGAAGGGAGTTCTGCCTGCAGTCCTTGGGACTCTGATGTCTGAGTGTGGTTGGGATCATTGGGGTTAAATTTAGAGCCCTTCAGGTTATGTCTTTGAAATCTCTTCCAGGCCTGGCACTGTGGCCCTTCGAGAGATCCGGCGGTACCAGAAATCCACCGAGCTGCTGATTCGCAAGCTCCCTTTCCAGCGTCTGGTCCGTGAAATCGCTCAGGACTTCAAGACGGATCTGCGGTTCCAGAGTGCGGCCATCGGAGCCCTGCAGGTAGGCGACTTTGTCTCTCTTCCCCGCCGGGGAGACAGAAGGAAACTTGTCTAACTTGCCCCCAGACAGTGGGGAAGTACCTTCCAAAGAGTGAGCCCGACCTGCTTTGCACTCATCAAATCTGTGGAAACTAGACATGGAGGCATCTGCAGAACATACCTCTGCTGCTCAGAGCCTCTGGCTTCAGAATGTAGAATCTAAATTCACTGTTGATGTCCACAGATTACTGCTTTTGCCCCGAGGGGCCACTGCATCCTGGTGGGGGTGTGTGTGTGTGTTTTTACAGGCAGAGGAGAGACACTGACATCAGTGACGACTGCAGTGCTCAGCTTCTCTGTCATTCCACTCACTCGTGGCAGGGGAAAGCATCCATGTCTCAAAGCTGCTGGTGTGGGGGTGTTGAGCACAAAGCGTTAGAAAGAGCTGCCACATTTGAGACTGTGCTGCTTGCTAGTGTAGATGGGTGGGGCACGAATTTGGGATCTCTGAATTGGTTTCCTCACCTGCCAAATGGGGTTCAACTGACACTTGGGAAGCCCTTGATGCACACGGAGCTGGGTAGGTGCCAAGCATGTAGGGTCAGTTTTTCAAGAGCGCTCAGCCCCCCTTTAGACATCAGAATAAATGGCCAAATAAACGTCACGGAGCAGTAGGAAAAATCTGGCCCTCTGTACAGTGGGAGCATTTGGATGCCTCCGAAAGAGACTGTTGCGAAACAAATAGAGCTGTTACTTCTGTTGTGGTTTTTCCTTGGTAGGAAGCCAGTGAGGCTTATCTCGTGGGTCTCTTTGAAGACACCAACTTGTGTGCAATCCACGCCAAAAGAGTCACCATCATGCCAAAAGACATCCAGCTGGCGCGTCGTATCCGCGGCGAGCGGGCTTAACTCACTGGCGGCTGATATCTGCTCTCACAGTGTATTAGAGTAGACTCTAGGTTTGTGTTTTTTCCTACTCCTGTTTGTAGTGGCTAGGACACGGGGAGATGTTATAAACCTATCTTGGCAAGATGTAAGCCATCAGGAGAGTTGAATCCGTTTGTTCATAATGTACAAGCAAAAAAAAATTTGAGAAATTTACAAGACTTGGATTTTTTTTGTTTTGTTTTTGTAAACTTTTTTTTCAGAATTGCAAAAAAAAAATATATAAAACAAGGGGGAAACATTTTTGAAATGTCTGGTTTTATACACAAAACTAAAGTAGATTTAGGCATAACCTAAGGAGCTTTTGGTCTTCGGTTTGTAAAAATATATCTGCAAAAGATCACGCTACACTATATTTTTCATTATTTGATTTCTTTTTTTCCTTTATATCTAGAATGGGCATGATATTTAAACTTGTTTTCTTATTTCCATCTGTCTCGTGAAATGTGACTTGGACCTTTGTAACTTTCAGGTTTCTTCACCCTGTGGTGGGAACAAAAAAAAAATAAATGCTGAACAATAACCTTTTTGCTTCCTTAATCTTGTATTTGCTGTCACACTAGGACAGGGGTGTCCTCCTCTACAGTAAATCAAAGCAACGTACCGTGTGCTGACACAATGTCCAAAGTTCTGTAGCTCCTTTTAAGGATCTCCGAGCCTTTCTGGGAGCATTATTTAAGCCTTTCAGAGCCTTGAGGGGAAAGGAGTGTTAGATCCTTTTTGAAGATGTGGGAAAACAAAACTTAAAAAACTGTTGTAAGTGACTGGCCCAAAACCACAGCAAGCCAGTGGCCGAACCACAAATAAAACCCCGGAATCTGGAATCCCAGGTCCCTGCTCCAGCTAAGCGACGGCACATCCAGTTACTTGATGTGACACTCTATCCTGCAATTTGGCTTCAGGATACAGAGGAAAGAACCTCCCTTTTCCTGTTGTAGTGTTCACTTCATGCAGTGGGATACAGAAGACAGGGACTCAGGACTCCTGCGTTCTTGGGCTGACTTGCCATGACCTTTGGCACAGCAAAGCTGCCTGTCTATCTCCTCACTGGTAACTCTGAGAGTGACACATCTGTGCCGGTTAGGTAATATTTCTGAAATGCTTTGGGCTCATCAGTTTGAAGGGTACTACCTAACCGGTAGGTGCAGGGGTTATTGAACGCTGATAGATGATAAGCCTTTGTTTTAACAGCCCTTTGAGAAGATGATGATTTAGAATTGCAGTGTACTTGTAAACACCTACTATTTCAGCGGTCATGTTCCATGCAGGCCGGGCTGTCTCTTGCTCTGGGGGTCAGATAGTGGGGGGGAATTACCTATGCTGATAGGGAGACCCCCCTCCTGTCACTAGGTAGACTCCACACTGAAGTGCTACAGCTGTTCTGCTGTTGCATTTCAAGTACTGACAAGCCCTTAATTTCACTGCATGCTCTTCCTGCCCCAGAGAACTCTGATGGCACGCAACTGGGCCCTGCTTAAACTCACTGAGTCAAATTCTGCTCTCCGCTGTACACAACAGTGACTTCAGTGGCGTTACTGCAGTGCTACAAAGGCATAGCCAAGATCAGAATCGGGGCCACTGCACATTTCCAGCTCATCTCTGCTGGTGAAGGGTCTGGAATTTCCCATCTGTCCTTTCTTGAAATGCCCTCAGCCACCCAACTGGATATTTCATACTTGTTTTCCAAGAGGATCTGTTCTGATTGGAGCAGTGTCTTTGCCTTTAACACATACCGCCCTTTAGAAAAGAGCGGCGGGCCTCTTGCGATATGCATGGAGGGAAAGGCTTTCTGTAGGTTGAGTTGTTGGTGGTGGTTTTGCACTGACCTACTTTTTGCATAGGCGTTCTGTCCTCTGTAGGATTTGCTTGGGAATCTTAGTGTCTGACTCCATAAGACACCATTAAAAAAGCACTTTCCTCCCACGTGCAGTTTTGGATTGCTGCTGCCATTCAGTGCCCACTTGCTTAATGTCTCGGAAAATTCAATCGCAAAATTACCGTGGTGGGTGGGTCTGTATCTGAAAGCATCATAAGTTGAATAGAAAACGTAGCAAGGGTAAAATAACGTGCCAGTAAAAAGTTGGAATATCTGTAGCTTTATTTATCTATTTCAAGTATCTTCTCTTACAAATGCTAATGAGTTTCCCCCTGGCAGTGTGCCTGGGAGGTAGATCTGTATTACAGTCCCTGTTTTTTAAAGAGGGGTAGAGAGAGAAAGAACCCAGGAGTCCGGACCTACTGTCTTCTGCCTGGAAGTGCCAAGCCAAGCACAATCCAGGCCTGGATTCTGTTCCTTGGCAAAGTGGATGTAAAATGCTCACATTCTGCTATAAGTGTCTTTCATTCACTTTGCAGTAGGGTAAATAACTGCAAGGTAACATCCATTCAGGCCCAAGATTTCTGCTGCAGGCTCTGACCTGTGTCTTGTACATTTCCAACCTTACTGCTCCCACTTATTCCCTTTCAGCTGGGGTATGGAGGGAACCTTCCGTCTCTTGGTACATCTGTTCTGTCAAATCACCACAATGCAGGTGCTAAGGGCTCTGAGCAGATTACCCTGCAGCGCTGACTTGATTGCACTTGACAAGTTTACATTAAATGTAGAGACAGAGCGAAAGCCCTGTTTTAGCCACCTTAAGTGGGATTACAGTGCTGGTGTGTCAGGGCTGCTTTATTTTTTCTGGGGTAGCATAGGCAGATGGGCCTTTGAGGACATGCAGTCCCCTTTGCTTAAAAAGGACAAGTGTGTGGAGTTTGCGGGGGGGGGGTGTTTTTTCTTTCTTTTTTCTTGTTTGCAAAGCTCTTAATATCTCTGTATCTTACAGGGAGGCAATGTGGGCTAGTGGTTAGAGCAGGGGGGGCCTGGGACTCAGGCTGCTAACGGTTCTGTTACCTGCTCTGAGGATATTGACTACTGATTAGAGCAGGAGATGAGGAGGCGGGACTCCTGGGTTCTGGTCCCTGCTCTGGGAGGGGCGTGGGGGGGATAGGTTGAGCAGGGAACCACAGAGTGGATTTTCTGATTTCTAGTCCTGAGCTGGCCCCGACTCATTCTGTGTCCGTCAGCAATTTGCACCCCCTCCCTAGGGCCCTTTGTAAGATGAGGCTAAAAGTGCCTACCCTACAGAGGGGGTTGGCCCGGCTTTGTTGTTAGCAGAGCACTTTGTGAGCGCGGGTGACAATGCTACTCAACCACCAAGTATTTATTATTAATAAACAGCCTTGTCAAAAGGAAAGGTACAGCGCTGTTAGGAAGCCAGCACTTATCCTCTGCATCCCAACAGACCGTCCATCTAACCAGTTCCTTTCCACTCTGCCTTAGGATCTGTGTTGAGTGGGAGGCCCCCAATAAAGGGCATGCTGTTTAGGGGGAGCCGGTGCCTGGTGGGCGGTCAGGACACAAAACCTGATGAACTTCTATGCTTAAAATAGGGACGCTGCTCTTTACCACCTCCTCAGCCCCCATCTGTGATCATCCAGTGCTGCACAATGTGATCACTCAGACTTCATAAGAATGGCCATACTGGGTCAGACCAAAGATCCATCAAGCCCAGTATCCTGTCCCCTGACAGTGGCCAATGGCAGGTGCCCCAAGGGGAATGAACAGACAGGTTATCATCAAGTGATCTGTGCCCTGTCACCCAGTCCTAGCTTCTGGCAAACAGGCTAGGGACCATTCCTGCCCATCCTGGCTAGTAGGTCCATCGATAGCTATCTTCCATGTATCTATCTAGCTCCCTTTTGAACTCTGCTATAGTGGTGGCAGTGAGAATGGAACCTGGAACCCCCTCCTCCGAAAGCCTAGGCCTGGTTCTAAAAGAAATTCCCATTAGCTGGAAGTTCTGATTCTGTCTGTCCGAGGGCACACCCCAGCAGTGGGCCGTGAATGTCAGGTGATCTTTCCCTTCTAAAATACCCAGGCATACTCAAGCCCCGGGGTCTGCTTATTGTGAACCCCTAAAACACCAGGCAGGATATTTGACTTGTCCCACTGGTATTAGCTTTGTATAATCAGTATCATTCTTGCCAGCCCAGCGAGGACCGAGGACTTTGTGTGTGCAGTGATCTGCCTTGTCAAATTCAGCCAGGCCAGTGAGCAGAGTAATGTGTTAAGGCCCAAACAACCCTCCTGGATAAATATTGTTAAAGGAACTAATTATATCCTCCCCTTAAAAGGGGGGGAATGCAGAGCACCAGCCCCCTCATTCCAAACATCTCCCCCGTTATATGGGATGGGAGAGCACCGACTGGTCTGATGTGCTTAGGACAGAAGGGGGTGAGTTAAGGAGGCAGCTGGCGGCCTGTCAAGGCTGACAGCAGACTCTTGGGAGCTCCCGGGAGAACAGGTCAGGAGACTGGGAACAGAGGGATTCAAGTTCTAATCCTGAGCCCTGCCCCTGGCCTGCTGGAGCAACCCTGGGATTAGAACCAGGCAAATCACAGCCTCAGTTCCCTAATCTTTTAGTGTCCCAGAAATATCACCTTCTCCAAGGCATTTCACGGATTATGAAGCCAGACTGCACCACTGTGATGGTTTAGTCTGGCCTCCTGTGTACCATTGGTCATAGGCCATCCCAGCATGAATTCCGGTTTCAGGTCCAATAGCTATGATTGGATTAGAGTTGATCTTTTATAAAAACATCCAATTTTTTTTAAATGTTTCCAGTAATGGGGACTCCACCGCGACCCGTGCTAGGTTCTTCCAGGTGTTAATCACCCCAACTGTTTAAAATTTTGCACCTTAATTCCAGTCTGAATTTGTCTAGCTTCAGTTTCCAGCCACGGGATCTTGCTGGACCTTTGTCTGCTAGATCGCAGACCCTCTGGCATCATCAAAATGTTGTTCCTTCTCTAGGTACTTGTACCTTGGGATGAAGTTACCCCTTCACCTTCTCTTTGATAAGTTAAACAGGTTGAGCTCCTGGAGTCTGTCACTGTAAGGCATGCTTTCCACTCCTTTAATGATGCTTGTGGCTCTTCTCTGGCCCCTCCAATGTATCAACCTCTTTCCTGAATTGTGGGCACCAGAACTGGACAGGATTCCCACAACGGTCACACCAGGGCCAAATAACCTCTCTGCTCCTATTTGAGATTCCCTTGTTCGGTGAGGGGATCGCAACCCTCCCCTTACCATGTTGCTACGTGCGACGGGAGCGGGATCCCTGTATGTGGAAGAGGGTCATGGCCTGGACAAAGTTGAAAAGCACCAATTCAGATTGCAAGCTCTTTGGGAGCAGGGTATGTCTCTCACTCTATGCTGCACCTGGAGCAATGGGGCATGGATCTGTCACTTTTAGGCGCTACCATAATTCAGATGCTATTAATTTCTGCATAAGAATTGCAAATTTATGGATGTCGCTTGCGTCCATTGGGAACAAATTTTGTTTTTTTCCCCCCGACCCAAAGGAATTTCAGATTCAAAAATGTAAACAATAAATCGTGTGTGTTTGCACTGAGAGAGGATCATTTTGAAGGAGGAGAGTTAAAGACACACTTGGTTCTGGAGAAATTGGTAGAAATTTC